ATTTATGTTGTTTCCCTGTCCCCCCTTAGTGCTCTGTGTGGGCAAATAAATGGAAGAGCAGGGAACAGAGAAAAGCACCTGCTTCTTTACTCAAGGCTCTGGGTGGGGAGGGGGGCGGGGGAGACCCATCTCTACAGACTCTCTGCCTCGCTGAGTCTGGGTAGGAGGAGAAGTGGCTGTACATGCTGCTCCAGATTCATGACGCCTCATTCCCAGCAGTGAGCAGGTGGCTGCTGCTGGGATTGGTTATGGTAGATGCAGATGGAGAGACCCTTCCCCTCCTTCTAGACACCAGGTGAGTGTCAGATCTTGTCCCCACCCTGCCAGCCTCACAGGACCTTTACCAGTCCTCAGCAGGCAGCAGTGTCCACTGGGCTCTGCCTTCCTGCCGACAGGCTGGGACCTCTAGTATGGAACAGCATCAGGGCCCACTCCCTGCCTCCATCTCCGGGTCCAGTGAGGTCCTAGCCACACTCTGCCAGGAGTGGCCTCCAGGACTCTCTGTGGTCCAAAGCATGATGGGATAACCTAGGAGGTCCTGCTGGTGACTGAGGAAGGGCTGTTCAGTATTCAGGCACAGCCAAGTGCCTAACCCCATGGATCAACAGAGTCAGCTGTGGAGGCTGTGCTCCTGGCGATCATTAACAATTGAAGACTACACTGTCTAGTCTTCCTCGGTCCAGCTCCACTCTCCTTAGGCATTTTACTTATTAAAAATGCTCTAGGAATAATGGCTGGTGTTTAGTTCCACAGCCTGCCTGCTGCTTTCTGTGGTCATCCCAGCCTTCTTGCTGGGCCTCTGCAGAGGTGGCTTATACACAGCCTGTCCTTTTCTCCAGCGTGTACCTGGGAACACACCAGCACCCCTGGCTGGGTGCCTCAGCATCCTCTCCTGCCCAGGCCCTGTGAAGCCCAAGACTCACTGTTCTTGGGGCCTCTCAGGCCCTCTGCTGTCTGCTCCTCTTCAAGGGCCCCTTCTCCAACAGTCCACAGGCTGATCTGACTCACAGGGTTCAGGGCAGTAGCTCCCCTTGCTCCCCTGGGACTTTAAGCCTCCTGAAAAGCTCACAGCCTGATGCCAGGGGAAGAAAGGCTGCTTCTCCAGGAAAGTGGGAGCTCAGCTCCCTTTCGCTGACAGGCAGACCCAGCAGCATTCAGAAAGCCTGGACCCTGAGTTCCAGTAAAGTGGAGATGACTAGGCCAAGAGCAAGCGTCCAAATGAAAGCAATTAATCTTAAAACCTGAAGTTTAACCATTTGCAAAACAGATCTTTCTGTCTCTGTGGTGACCCTTCACTGCTCGACCTAATGGATTACTTTATTAATAATGCACTGTGCTTAAAAGCAAAAAAAAAAAAAAATTCTGACGATTCAATACTTCAGAAAGTCTCTTAAACCCGTTGCTACGGCAAAACGATTGATATTTTATTATCTTTTAGAAGTGCAACATGAAAGCCCTGCAGCCCAGCAGAGCGAGAGCTTTGGTCCTTGGCAGCTGGCAGACCTGACTTCAACCAGAGGAACCCCAGCCTCTCCCGACAAGGTGCTGTCAGGTGGAGAAAAGGCACTGGGAGTGGTTCACAGGAGTCCCGAGTCCTTGCTGCAGCCAGACAAAAGGTGCTGTGTGCAGGCCTGAGGAACACACCTCCTGGAGGTTCTGGGGGACCCAATGCTGCCACCCAGCTCAGATAGTCACCTGCTAGGAGGGCCTAAGTATTCAGGAAGAAGTTAGGCAGTAGGTTTGGAGGGGCAGTTGGGTGGATATGGACCCTCTCCCTCCCCCAGTTGAGAATGCCACCTTTAAGGTTTCCTGGAACCAGGGGAGGCCAGAGTCTAACAAGGAGTAGAGCATGGATTTATGAGCAGAAAGATTGCTTTTGGAGGACAGATCTAGGCTAGGCAGGACAAGAATTAGGTGGCTGCTCAGGACCCCAGCAGCTTGCCTTCCCTGCACTGTAATGGACCCTAGAGCCCAGTAATGTCAATGATAGTGGGCACCATATTGTTTAGGCTAGACAGGGTGGGGTCCAGAGGGGCACCTTGAGCTCTCCTCCATAGCTCTGGTGGAAATCAGAGAAAAATATGCTGAGGATGGTTGAGGTGCACTGCAGTCCACTAGCTAAAGTGACCTCCAGAGATCCATTCCCATTCAGGGCTCATCTGAAACCCTTAGTAATATCACAGAGCCTGAGGCACCTGGGGTGCCTGGACAGAGATCAAGCTCCAAGACCCTGGGTGGAGGTGGGGGTGCCATCTTATCAACATGAGACCAATCTCTTTGGCCTGAGGCCTCCCATGTATAGAGCTCGGATCTTCTGGATTCCTGGCTTGGGCCTGAGGAGTCAAATAATCTCTGCCAAAGATGTACCCTGATTTCTACATGCTCCTCATAGTGAGAATATCCCTAGATACCAAGGAAGGACCCTCTGCACTGGCTTCTCCAAGCCCTTCATTTTTACCAAGAGGGAAAGAGAAGTCTAGAGACAGGCATGACTGGTCCAAAGTAACACAGGAAGTGAGTGACGAAAGGAGCTAAATCAAGGCTGCTTCCCTCCCCGTCTGGCTTAACCCCAGATCCCTTCTTCTCTTTTTTATTCCATATAAAACTGCACCAGCCCAGTCTTCTGATAGCCCACATGGGGCTCCAGGGGAGGGGTCCGTGAATAGAGAACACACTGAAGACAGATGTCACACTCCAGCCAGCCCAGAAGCATTTAGTTTTCCTCTTCCCTCTTCCCTCTCTTCCTACATGCCTGCCAAGAAATGGCCTTCATGGGCTTACCAGCCACAGGGCTCCCCTACATGCCACCCCCACTTTAAATGCCCCCTCCCTGCTGGACGTCTCAGAAAGTGCTAGGTAGGCTGGGGGATCAGCTCGTGGTGACAGTAAAGACAACATCCTGTGTGACCTTGAAGTCACTTCAAATTTTCACCAAGTGACCATGTTAATAACACCACTGCTCCAGTGGGCAGAGGGCACAGGCCCAGTGGAGACTAGTGAGCAGAAGGTCGGAGGATGGCCACCACAGTCCCTCTAAGAGGATTCCCGCTGACTCACAGCAAAGGCAGCCTTTCCGTTCCTTACCAGTGGCAAAACGGCAGCAGTGCGTTGCCAACAATCACACAGATCTCCCTACAACCCCAACAAACCACACAGCCTCACCTACAGGGCAGGACGGCCTGGAAAAGCTGGTCTCCTGACCCTGGGGGCTGATCTTAGGTCACTAGGCACCCACCTGGTTTTACCCCCAAGGGGGCTGGGATCCCCAACCTTTTAGGACACTGACTGCAGGGTGCTCCCAGCTAGGAAGGCTTTGAGGTCTACAGGACCACCCGCTAGTGGCTTCCAGCAGCCATGGACTCTTCTGTTCTGACCTCTCCGCCCTGAAGTCTTCTGGGGCACACTGAGGCTCTTGACCACGGAAGGTCCATGCCACTCTCGTGGCCGCTCCTGCACAAGTGCTACTGGCCAGTAAGGGGCCACTTTCTTACATTGGGCCAAACTCCCGCCTCGGAGCTCAGACAGACAGGGAGATAGTGGGCCAGTACAGGAGGCGTCTCTCTTACAGAGTCACGCTCCTGGGCAGCTGTCCCCTCAGGGCCCAGCAGGCCTTCCCCTCCTGTGCCGGGCATCCCTGAGCCCAGGCCATCCTCCCGCGCTCCCGCTCGCCCCAGGTTCCGGACTCTGATTCTTCTCGAAGCCGCTTATTTGCTGGGCGCTCAGCGCCTCTCGGGTCACTCGGCCGGCGCGAGGGTGATGGCTGCGGTGAGAGGAGCAGCCGCAGAGACTGAATGCTCAACGCGAACCGAAGGGGAGCCGGAGCCTCCCCGCGGCCCCGCGGCGCATCACACCAACCGCGCACAGCTGGCCGGTTCGCGGCCGGGGCCCGGGGGCGCGCGGCCCGGGGCTTGTCC